TGAAGTAAAAAAGAAAAATAAATCATTTAAAATTTAAGTATGTTGATCTACCACTAATTTCATTACATTTGTTACTAGCATGAAAATTTTTTTCACAATTTTATGATCTAATGCTATAATCTACATTGATTTATTAGACTCATAAAGATATTGCTCAGGTATGTAATAAATGTGGAAAAACTTTTAGACAAAAAAGATGTCTCAAAGTCCTCGTCAATGTCGCACATCTCCTACGCATTGTAAATAATTAAAGTGTATAAATAGACATTCAATTGTGTCATAAAACATGATGTATAATATACTTTATTGATATGATTATAAAATCAATCAATTCTTATTCTCTAGATTATGTATATATTTTTTCTATTTTCTAAATGTTAGTTCAGTTCTATTTATATAATAAACCCCATCTAAATTAAAAAATTACAATAATAACATTTCGAATATAGAAAAAATGGTTAACGAATAGATCATCAGTATTTTCAGTGGTTGATGAATCGAATTGATGAATCGAAATGATCAATCGATCGCGCCATCTAGACGTATAGTTTGTAAGTTTCAATTTTGACCTGTTTTACCTTAAGAGCCTAGGGACTCTATTCATGTGAAATGTGGGGTACAGACCACCTTAAAATGTCATATTACAAGCATCATTCGAAAAAGTGCATATTGATGCAACGATAAAAATATTTCACAGAACAAGCCAAGTGACCCTAAACTATCAATAATTAAAAAATTTTCCATTTCATTGTAATATTATAAGCATTAATACTACAAATTTAAACTCATTGCATCAAAAGTGTATAAAAATTTATATATTTGCATTCCGATTATTACCAAAAACTATACAGCAAATTTTCGACCGTACTAGCATGCATCCTGAAAATTTCATGTGAATTAAAAAAGCAGCTTTTGAGGCACGGTAGTTAAGACAAAAACTTTCAAGTTGTGCAAAGGAGACTTACGCTTCGCTCAGCATAAATACTAACATTCATAACAATGTAAAAATTGATTTACAATTATAATTGTGAACACAAATGAAACATGCATGGTAAAGAAGACAGCTACTTTTATTATGTATGATAAAAAATTGCATAACCTTACCCAGATAACATATGTTATGTTGGGTATTTCCAAAATAACAGATGTCGGTAAGTTAGAAAAGAATGTGATTTTTTATCATGCAATGATAATAGTTTTACAGCTTCTACTGGTAATACAAATATACATTACGGGATAATAAGATGGTCGTCAATAAAAAATGTATATCACTTGAAGGTAAAATGTATTGACATTCAGAAAAATGTTCATCTTTTGAAAGTGCTGTAAGACAAATTAAATGTTGAAACATTATTTTGAAACAAATATTAACAATTAATTGATATTAGTTCTGCTTTTAGTACTACTTGGTACGATATAAAGCTGAGATTACACCTAAGTTTTTTATTTTAAATTAATACATTTGACATTTTATAAAATATATACTTACAATATATCCAAATACTAAAAAATATTATCTTCACAAACTATTGTATAAAATAGCACTCATATCAAATTAAAGAGTCAACGCAAGATGTCTCCACTATTCATATTTTTGATAAGATAACATTGGAGTTTAAATGTTCATAACAAGAAGTGAATAAATTTTATGAATAAATAAGTACTTATTTAAGATTGTAAAATAAAAAGTTCACGAAAAGAATCTATAAAATTCATATTTTTGTTATTGTCATATGTCCAAAGAGGTTTCATGATATCCAATGTGTGACATGAACCCTGATGTATAATACATAATTTCTTTTTGGTCCTAATTCAATTATTATTTCATATTTTTTGAAGAAGTATTGAATATTTTTACAACTTCTGATAAAAAGTTAAGTTGCGAAAAGTTTCAATGTAAACCATTTATGGAATAACAAATGTACATTTTAAAGACAGTGTAAACAACTCTTTTAACCCATTAATAATACGAACGATATTTCTGCAATTTTTAAACTTGCAATTTTTAAAATTTTAAAATTAAATAAAAAAACTGTTAAGCTTCAAAGCTTTTTTAAATTGGTTCTTAATATTTTTCGCATTGTCTTGTAATCATTCCTTTGTCATTCATCACAGACGAGTTTAATCCATCCAAAAATGCCATTCGAAAATCAATACGTAATTAATCTTTAAAAAAAACTTGAGGCTCATAGAAATATCTGTATGTAAAGAGAAAGAAAGAAATTTCTAAAAGTTGAACAATTTTTATTTTTTATTTTAAGGCCCTTAAAAGAATAAAGTGAAACCGACAATACAGGTGCGAGAGATGAGAGATAACTTATGGAATAATTACACGTGTATACGTAAATGATAAATAAGTTATGAATAGTGGATCGATGCTTAAAGAGCTATGACAGAAACGTTCAAAGTTTGTTGAAATTAAAAATAAAAAGAGCAAGTCAATGCAATAAAATTTAAAGTGCATGCACAAACATAATCTAGAAAAAATGTACTAATCTACCTGTCGATAATATATTTTATTCTTTGTTCTGTGACATCTAAATATCTGATAAGCTCATGACACCCGTTTTGAAGGGGGTGACAGTGATACTGATAGATGATATTTCAACTACTATGAACACGTTCCGACTATGGTTTGGGGTTTCCGATAATCTTTGCTTTTTAAAATCGTAGAACTATTAGTTACTTATTTTATCAATGTTGTACTAATGTATTTATAACGATCGAAAGTTTTGGTATGCTAGTATTGAATTATTTAGCTCATTTTGTCTTTTGTGTGTGTGTGTGTGTGTGTGTGTGTGTGTGTGTGTGTGTGTGTGTGTGTGTGTGTGTGTGTGTGTGTGTATGTTATAAGCGTTCAGTGCAAATAAGTTTGTTTGTCGTGCCTTATTCGATTTCTTAAAATATAAATTATAACCTTCAAATTATATTCATGGCTGAAAGCTAAGCACTAAAAGCACACCTTGTAATAATTTTAAATCTTAATTTTCTTGCACGGATAGGCGAAAAATCAATTATAAATAGAAATCAAATCAAATCTCGGAATCCACAGATACAAGACCACGCTTACGCCGCGGATTTATGATGGCTTTATTTAATAAGACATGTTTTAAGATTGGTATGAAATTAACACGTAATATTATGGCATACAATTTTATTAAGGGATCGTCCACGCAGTGCGATTTATCTGATATGCAAAACTCGCAGCCATGCACGAGCAAAATCAATATGCTTCAAATTTAGGATCAATCTACATCATTTAAATTTTTGCTATATGTTTTTAACTTCGTTTCAAATTTTGAAATCAACTTTTCTTATTTCAACCTTCAAATGACCTTGAATATGAGCAAATCCAGATAAACTGACGTCAAATCCGGACATCGGATTCGACCACAAAAACATCAGGTCTACTAGACCTGGTTAATGGGCTTGAAAATGTTTTTCATTTTGTGTGAACATGCTATATATCTTCTAACGAATATCGATGTATAAAGGAGATGCTAGATTATTTAAAAAATGAGGAAAACAATGCAATTAAATTTGAAACGAAAATGCGCTGTATCAACCTAGTGAAAGTAATTTACTAATCTACTTGGCGACACTTTATCTACCGAATCAAGGCATACTATATTGAAAAGTTGCATCTCATCACGTCAGGTAGATACAGTTAATGAGTTTGAAAACACCTTCCCAGAGCTGAATGTGATGAATGATTTTTCAATGATCATCCGCCACCTCGCGCATGTACCTCTCGCAAACTTTCACGCGGTGTTTCCGATAATCAAAATATAGGTGTTTTACGTCACAATTCAAAAAATTTGTTAATTACTTATTTTATCAATGATACACTAATGGATTTATAACGACCAAAAGTTTTGGTAGAATGATATTGGATTATTCAACTCATTTTCGGGACTCTAGTTTTCGGTGTCAACCGCTTTTTCTTATAGTTATAAAATATATTAAAAATATCATCTAAAGCTATTTACATACTGAAAAAACTGTCATTTATTGCTTAAACAATAATATAAATGTATTACTCCTAACTTTTTTGTAAACCCGATATAAAGAGAGTAAAAACACTTTGAAACCCCAAAAAATGTTTTTAAACTTGAGAACCATCAAATTCACGGAAAAATTGCATAAACGAAAAGCATTAAAAATTGTTGAAAGAATACGTGAACATGTTTCAGAAGTTTTTTAAACATTTTAGATTTTTCAAAATATTGTCAAAAAGGTCACGCGTACTCTTTGGAAAATTTTAAACCCTGTTTATTTCAAAACATTTTTCCTCAAAATTGCCACGTATATCAGGCATTATAACCATAAGCCGCCCCCTCCCGACGTTAGGCACCGCTACATTGAAGGTAGCATCTCAATTCGCCAATTCGTTGCTGTTTACCTCGCTAATAGTCATAAGTATTGATACTAGATCTCGAATACTGTCGTAGTAATCCTGTTGCTTTTATGAATACATCTGCACTAAAATTCTCAATTTTTCTCTATTATTGCAAAATATACTTTTTTCGATTTTTCGGTGTTTATAAACCCTCAATTAAATAATAATTTTTAAAACTAATGTTCGGATTGTCTATAAATTAAAAGATATATTTTAATAAAGTTCGAAATTTTTTAAATTATTAATAAATGTTGATTCAGTATTTACAGACCAATCTATTTTTAATAAAAATGAATCTTCATTATTTTATTTATTATTATTTTATTGGTATATCTGACAATGTTACAAGTGAGTAAAATATTTGTACAATATTTTTTCTAATGTAATACTAAATTTACTTTCATAATATTGATGCAGAATTACGATGATATCGCTTTTTCAAAATTTATGAAGAATTCAGTAAACTATACTATTGTAACCGTGCAATTGAATTCTGGAAGTAGAGAAAATTTCATTTTGAAAAGCCTATGGTTTATATGTATTTTATATTATTATATTATAAATTAGCCTGTTCAACTTGTAAATGAAATTTTACTCGGGTTGTCCTTTTTTTAAAAATAGAAGCGATTTTAGGTGGTTATACTTTACGGCGATTACATACTAGTTATTCATAAAAGCGTAATAAATAATGATTTTTACTGATTCTCGAATATGACTGTGTCTTCGAATGTCATTGCTGCTAACGCGTACTTAAATAAAATAATTAATCTTCAAACCAAAACCTATGCAAAAATTTAGAAATGGAAATCATCATCTGTTTAGGAGCTAAAAATAATATTATGATTAATCTGACGATAATTAGATTTAAAAACATGCATTTTTTAAATAATTTTCATTTTTCTTACTCTGTGTTGCCATTAATGTCATGTTGACAGCTTGATTAGGTTTTTCAGTCACTGGTTTTTTTGGAATAGACGGTTTTGAAGAAACTTTGACTTGACAAGTACCTAATAATACTTGAGAGTCCTGCAATAAACTTAGTTAATTCATATTCCTTTTTTTCTGGATTTAAATGTGCTACTCACTTTCGCTTCTCTTTTTTGGCGCTGAAATATATTTGAAAAATTTTAAATAATAATAACAAATACTATATAACATAGCATAAATAGATATATCTATCAAAAATGTAATTGGAGAATTGACTAATGGGTTATTCATCTAAAAAGTTGAATCAAATAAATAATCTGTTCAACTGTTCAAGAAATAAGTTTCGAAAGAATTCAATTGAACCATTTTTTAAATTAGTAACCGACCCATTGATTGACCGACATCCAGTGAATGACCGTTTTTGAATATTTTAAAAAATCTTTAGATTTTTTTTATAGCTGTTCTCAATTCTTTTTCAAACGGTTCATCTTGTTTTTCACCTCCAATTATTTAGCAAGGAACAAATATAATTATTGTTTATTTAAAAATGATTATTTATTGGTAAAAGGAGTCAGACACCGGGTAAAAAACAAAATTTTTCAAAACTTCTCTCGTTTTCTGTTAAAATAATGAATACTTCTTTGACTTTGTATTAACGTATCCAGATGAGATTTATAACATTTCTATGTGCTCACATACCGGGCGATGATGATGCGGACGATGTGGCATCGGAGGTCGTGGGCGCTACACAATTCGATAATTAAACATTTTAGAGATTATTTTGACTGAATAGTATTTTTACTAACCATATGCATAGGACGTTGTGGCTGCTCATCTTCTTCTAATGATGGTTCTATCGTTGTTGTATGTCGTTGGTGTTTTTTTGCACTATTTATTGAAATAGCTGATATTAGAAAAATTAACATGCACAAAAATATATGGAATCGCATTGTTCCTTAATTAATCTGAATGAAAATGTGAAAACTACTTCTTTGCACTCGCGATGAGCTCTTCCAAACTGAGAGAATTAAACTTTTTTAAAGGCTTTATAGTTTTTCAAACGGTGAAAGTTGAGTTTTTTTCATGTTAATGAAGGCTTGTACGATTAATTTATAAGTGTTCCTTCGAAGCTTTAGCCAATTAAGTTTTTTCGGTGCGATTTTGCCGCAATTTCTGTTCGAGTGAACATTATCATTATACACGCGATAAATTTAGTGAGTGTAATCGGTAATTATGCAAGCTGCTCCATGATATTCTATGTGCATGATTATGATTCAATAAGCTGTGGATCGTTAAACTTCATATTTAGTGAAGTAATATAATTAACTAATTTTATATTTACAGTGCAGACGTTAACTGTAATAGTTATGTTATTTTATATTTTCTCTACGATAATTATGACATTTCCTCTATTATATCTTGATTTAAAGAGAAAAAAGTCGCTCAATTAAATTATTTTTATAAAACATTTTCTAATATTGTTAAGAATTGTGGTTCATTTTTTCTACTTTTGACATTCTCCTGTCAATCAATAACAGCAGTTTAAAATTTGAAAGTTTTACTTATTCCATAGCAACTGATATATCAGAGATTTTTGTATAGATTTTTTATAGACCAGTATATTAATCGAAAAATGTATGGACATTTTTGCGACAAAACCGGTCTAATACTGCTTCGTAATTCAAGAGATAATACATTTTTATAGATTATAGATTTTAACTTTAACTTTCTGCCTCGAACGTATCTGTAATTATGAACTAAGATGGTAAATTTATTATAAAATAATTCAATAATATATTGAATAATATATTAAATATTATTAAATATTAAATAATGAAAATAATCGCATGAGTGTGAGTGCATAATAATATTGAATATAATTCAATTAGATAATCAAATTTCCACCTTTACTGTTATGAAGTGCTAAAATTTTACAAAATTTTCATAATTGAATAAATTAGGATTTACAACATATTAATTTGATTATATTTATTTGCGTAACTTCAAATTTTATTAATTTGTATATAGACATAAATTTGAAATTTTCATTTCGGTATTTAGGTATAAATATCATAGTATCTTATGGCATATTGGAAATTACATAGTTGAAGATTTCATTTTATTTTTCTTTGCATGAATTATATAGAAAAATATTTGGGTTTTTGTAAGCTTTTCTATACAAGGACATGACTCGGAAACCATATGGATAATTATTTCATGGCAATTCATGCGAGAAATTACATGGATTTCCTTGTATTAATTCAGCAACATTTACCATGTAACGTGAACTTTTCTACTTGCAATGTAAACATTTAAGACGTTTTTTATCTTAAGATTTTACGGCTGTTGCAACTTCCTCATTCAACTTATCATCAACACATTTATCGATAGCTTCGTTAGTTTTGTCAGTGATATTTTTGTCATCAAGGCAATTTTTCGTTAGCTCGAGAACGTGTTTGAGTTCCTTCATCTTTGGCTCGTTTGTTAATTTGTCATCCTTATTTTTGCTCCATTCGACTACTTGAAGCTGTTGATGATAATTCAGTGGATTACTGAAAATGTTTAGTTGACGCAATGTTGCTGGAAGATGCTTGACAAAGTCCGTCGGTAGAGCAACTAAATCGTTTCCGCGAAGATCCAAATTTATCAACGCTGGAACGGACTTGAGAAAATCGATTTCGATACTGGCGATGCGATTGTTAGCAAGATTCAGCTCCAGCAATTTAGACAAATCTCTAAACCAAGAAGCTTTCAGGACCGTTATTTCATTGCGAGGCAATACCAGGCCTTTCAATTCTCGTAGACCTGCAAGTAAAATCGAATGTACATTATAAAAAGTTAACTTCTAGCGCAAATATCTGAATCTCATACCTTTGAAAGCTCCATCTTCAATTTCGGCTAGCTTGCTACTCCAAATTTCAAGTTTCACAAGTTTGTCGTAAAATTTAAGAAAAGCTTCATTCTTAATTTTTTCCACTGTGGACATAGAGAACCAAATTTGCGAAATGTTGCCTTTTGGTGCCTTTTCAAGATCAGTGGCCAAATCAATTGATTTCACGCAGACCCATATGGAATAGTTTCCTGGTTGATTCATCTGTTCCACATCCATATCTTGGGATTTCAGGGGATTCTTGCGGTAACAAAAAGCCTCGGCCATTGCAGCCATGGCCAATAGGCACAGGCAACATTTGGCCAGGCTACTTTTCATTTTGCTGTCTACTTTTTTTTCTCAATGATCTTAACTCAACACGTTCTGCACGCTCAATTTTATTATGCACGACTGAGCTCGTCTTAGAGTTGTACCTAACGTTTTATAAGAGGGGATGGTGTAAAATGCTTAGAATATTTCAATCTCGTTCGTCGGGAACGATTGATTTGATGATTGCGCTCATGATTGTAGCAACGAGTGCGCATACGTACATGTCATTTATTGCGATAAATTGAATAAAGGGGATTTTCGAAGGTACAGGCAACGCGTGAGGTACAAGAAGATCTGGAACGGCGAATGTCAATGCATAATATAATTCATTGTAAAAGCTCGTTTAGTCATTAGAGCTCGCGACTGCTGTACGATGACTCTATGGAGGACTTTGCTTTTATCTAGTGAATAAAAATGCCCGAAAAGCATTGATTTTTTAGTCAAGGTCACATACGATGATAGTTTGTTTCATAATTGAAATTCCTATTCTTGGTTACTTCAGCAAAATAAGCTGTGTACTATGATATACACCGATGATCTAAATTTCAATTTGTTTGAAAAAATAATTTTTGTAGACTAGAGCCCGTAAAATACCAATTGCGGTATTTTGCTCCCCGAAATTATTTACCCTCTTGAAACCGGTAAATTAGAAGTTTATAGTTTGCGAAGTGTTACAATCTGTTTGATATAATATTGTAACCTGGCTGAGTAAGATATTTCATATACCCTTTTACCTTAATATTAACTGCTATTAAAAAATCGCATCAAAAATATCAATGACGGATACTTGGTAGGACTTTCAGCTTAATTAAAATGAGTAGTTGTCAGCAAGTTATCGCTTTCATAAAGTTTACAGCATTATTAGCTTTTCATTTTTGAATTTATTTTTTCGTTTTAACTAAATTTTTAGTTGTAATTCTTGACGACGCGGCATTTTTTTAATAAACCATCAATAAACATATTTTTGAGCTTTCGTATTTTCGGGGATATCCAAATTCTCGAATATACGAGGTATCCAATAAATTATTTAAAAATAAATTCAACAACGATAAAATGATGCAAATTATAAATTTCACTATCAAAAAAAGGGGAAAAGATAAAGGATAATTTTTAAATTCTTCATTCATAATTAAAAAATAAGTGTAAACATATTATTTTATTGAAATTCAAAAATTATATGCACTTAACATATGCCGCATAACTGAGCCATACAAGAAGATACTATTGCAAATCTCTATAAGTTCTCATTTTTTGAAATTAACATATGCAAATGAAAAAATTGATCGAACAATTAACAGTAAGAATTACGCTGATTTGGTGTCGCTCGAGTTCTTATCGCCTTCCAAAAGCTTCGGGAATTCGATGGCCTTTGTCAGCTTTCCTTGCATGCAGATGTCCAACTCCTTGGCATCGTCTTTTTTCTGTAACGTAGCTTGGCATTCTTTGATCAATTTCGCAGTGTCTCGAAGCCCATCGATCGAAGCGCGCGAGTTCTTAACGATGGACGGATTGGCGTTGGCGTAATCGATGACTTTTACGCCTTGTCCCCACTCGTAAGGATTCCACTGAAGACCGGCTTTCTTCAATTTCGGCCACTTGTTTTTCATGGCGTCGATGTCAAAGTGCGTTAATTGATTTTCGGAAATTTCGAACTCTTGAATCATGGGAGTGTGGTCAAAGATAGCCGTATCGAAAACTCGAATGACGTTGCCGCTCAAGTCAAGGCTCTCTGGAAATCGTAACGGTCATTAGTAGAATCAGGCGATAATACAAAGATTATTCGACGATGACAGATACCTAGTTTATCGAGATCCTTGAACCAACTCTTTCTCACGTCAATGAGACGGTTTCGACGTAGAATGAGGGCTTTGAGTTCGGTAAGGCCACGGAACGCCTCCTCGTCGATGTCCTCGAGACCCGAGTGCACGATGCTGATGCCCAAGGCTTTCGTTCCCAACTTTTGCAAATCGTCCTTGCCGATTTTCTGGATCTTGCTGTCGCGGAAATCGACGTTCAGGAGCTTCATGTTGTCCATCGGCAAACGAGCGAGATCGGCTTTCATGTCTTGGCTGCGAATGCAGGTGTAGGCGTCGTGCTCGTTGGGCGTCGTTACACCCCTTTCGAGTATACAACCGGCCTTGACACTGCTGGACAGCGACAGAAGCGCAACGGCCAGAGCTGTTCGAACAACAACATTTCCACGATGATTTTGTTTTTTTGCGGGGAAAATAAAGAAATAAAGCCGAGGAAAAACATTACCTGAGAGCGCAGCTGCCGACGCGCGAGCCATGCTTGAGCAAGAGATTATAAAGCACGAAAGTATATTATCAATATGTATGAACGATATGCAAATTGATTCACGCTGCTCGAGCTCGATAAGCCAACTGCTGTTATGGCCAACGACGAAGAGCCGCCGCAAAGCCCGCGTCGTCAATTTATATAGGTCGAACTAGATTTGCAAGAAAATCACGTTACAATGCCTCGCGCAAATATATGTCATATACGTGCATCTCGAAACGAGAGTGACGGTGGACTCTCGGCCCTTGATCTGATGATGATGATGACGATGATGATGATTATCGTGATAGACTACGTTAACGGTACGCACACGCGCACGCGTGACCTGATCAACGTATACCGCCGTGAAGTACATCCATTGATCAGTATATTTACATGGAGCACTGTCAGGGACAGACGTATTGGGGATTTTCCAACAAATTATCGGGTTTAAGGTGCCGAGTCGTTTCCTCTCGCTTGGATTCATCTTTGTCATTGGAAAACATATTAAATGAGGCATTTTCAATGAATGAAAGCATCGAGACAATGCATGTGTTGAACAAGCTTTTATTTTGTACAATAATTGCATGGATATTACGTCTTCAGAAATTAATTAATATCTTATTTTTTAATAAAAAATAAAATATTCATGACTGTTTTTGAAATTTGCTCACAGAGAAACTTCTAAGCCTCATATTTCACCGATTAACGAACAAATCAAATCGACCAAGAGCCTGGCTTCCTCATTTTTCTTGACTTCTTGCACTTTATCCGACTGAATAACTTCCTTGATGTGAAATTTGATAAATTCCAAGGATTGGATTTTTAAATCCTTTATATTATGTCTATCAGCGATGCAAAGAACTTCATAAGCATTATCAACTGACAAATTTTCGCTCAAAAAATTTTCACACTCACTTTTGAGGCCTTCGATTTCATACTTATCAGCCGCGGCTATCAGTTCGCAAGCCAAAGTCTCCATGTTTTCAACCCAGCCCAGGTAAATGTATCGTAACAATTCGACGAGCACGTCGTAATGAATATCGATTATATTAACGCAATTCAACTTGTTTTCTAACATTTCGTGACTAAACATTGCGCTGAACGTCGTACTTGCAGAGGCAAGTATAGCTTTGTGCGCGTGTACCACTTTTCCGCATGCAGTCTTTAATTTTATATCGCTAAATTTTTCACAGAGAAACAAACTCTCTACTTTCTGCTCTTTTGAAGTTTTTTCTTTGTGGATCAAGGCTTTTGCATCTCGCGCAATGGATTCATATCCTAGGATTACGGTCAATTTACAGTGAATAGTCACACAATCGGAATTGGAAATAAAGCGAATGAAATCTTCTTTCGTACAAAAATCGTTCCAACCTACTGAGTTCCAATTCTTGGTAAAGTTGATAAATTTTGATTTTTCTAGTGTTATCTCATTATTTGAAATAGAAAACGTACAGTAGACCTCCAGTCCATTAGTAATGTCAGCTACCTCATGATGCAAACACAAAGCAACCGAATTCACGTAATCGGCATTTACACCCGCTGGAAATAAAATTAGAGAAAAAGTTTTCACTTCGTTTTTGCCAACTGTGAATTTTGGGGACTCCAATTTTTCTCCAGTTTTTTTGCGAATCAAACTGTAATCGCTTATGTACCACGTGTAATTGCACATTTTTTTACTAACACGAGTGTAAGCCCGCTTATTTTGAACAAACATTTTAACCACGAAGCGAAAAACTTTGAAGAATTAATTTATTTCTTCATGAAACTCGATGTGATGCTACAATTGAAATTTGGAGTAACAAGTATCGTCTATTGCGAGTAAATGAAGACTGAAAAATCTTCGAGCAGCTATAATACAATCGACTTTAACGTGTGTTGGCGGGTATTGTTCGTGGACTAAATAGAGCAACATCGAGCGACACACTGAGATTTCCCACGTGCTATTGTTGACTAACCACATGTTAATATTTATTCTTTAAGTCATGACACTATTTTCTATTTCATTATATTTGAATCAATTTGATTATTATATGACTAATCGCGATTCGCATGCTTGAAAAATTTATTTTTCATATTTGCTTCTTGCTTTGAAAACACTTTATTAACATTTTAAAAGCGATGAATTAAAAAAAATCATGTTTTCACTTAAAATATTTTTATTTCAGTTTTTATCAGTACAGAGAAAATATGTTGAACAGCTAAAAAAACTTGTAATGTTTCGGTACAAAAATTTCTTCATGTATCTGCAGTATAAAATAATCAATCTGAAAAGCTTTTTAATTTGGCTTAAAATATATAAGTTATTGAAAATAAAAGCTGAAACGTCCATGAAACATTTTTCGTTATGTGCTTCAGTTTTTGCTCGAGATAAAATGTTCACAGAATCATTTTCATTATTTTAGTTCTGTTTACTAAAATCTTTATCCTATAATATATCGAAAATCTGTATCAATAAATACATTAATAGTATATCAATATTGTTAGAATAAGATAAAAAACTCAAAAATACAGAAAAAACGAATGATATGAACAATAACATATATTTAACTAGAAAAGATTTTTACTTGAGAATAATTCAAAACGGTATCAAGTATAGCTACCAATCAATAGATTAATAAATAAATTCATCTCAAACCGCTGGTGAGTTTACAGCGATAAATTCAAGAGTTCAAGATTACTCTAATGAGCTTGTGAAAGTTTTTGACTGCTCCGTCGTATTGAACGATAAGGTGACATAGGTAGAAGTTCGTGGCGTTATTGTAGTGGAAACGAAATTATAAAAATTGTGGAAAATATCGAATCACGCTCACTGGTAAAGATAAAATTTATATTGGCGCAAGTATCTGCGCACAACTGTCATAATAGAGGCACATACAAATTCAGACAATCATCGAGGCTCGTTGGGTTAAGGATCTTTTTTGGCTGATTTGTACAGCCTGTACACCAGTCATTGGGCCGGCTGAGCTTGCACCGCTGTTTCCAAAGCCTTGTTTTCTTCGCTCAGAAGCTCGACTTTTTCCTCGTACTTGCCTCGCAAATCTTGAAACAGTCTCAGCTGCGTCTGGTATTCTTTTTTTAGATCGGCGTTCAATTGCACGGCCGTGTTCATTTTGTTGAGCATGCTGTTGTGACGCTCGCGTTCCTCGGAAATTTTCGTCTCCATTTTATCCACGTTCTCCTGGAGATTCTTCATCTCCGTGTTGCGTATGTTCAGCATGTCCTTGGTAATGGCCACGACTTCCTTAAGCGAGCTCACTTGCTTGGTTAGGGCGGATATTTGGCTCTCTTGATTGGCGACGCGTCGCTCGCGATCCTCGAGGGCAATTTTCGTATTTTCCAAGTTCAATTTCAATTTGTCTAACTCGAAGTTCAGATCGCCCGAGTCGTTTTGCTTATTAGTCGCTTGATGAAGAGCTGATAACTTCGATTCGGCCTCCTCGAGCTTTTTACGGAAAGCGTCCCTTTCGGCTAAGCATGCCTGAACATAATTAAAATCGCAATGAAAATAAGACCGCCCGCGTATCTTTAATAGATGATTATACATTTTTTCAAATACATACTTCAAACGCTGCTTTTAATTTCACGACTTCATTCGTGGCATTGCCATTGCACGACGGGGTGGCATCGATGCTCGCTTTATCGTTCTTCTAAAATACAATGAAAATTTGCACCTTTATTAGTCGATCTCAATTTCGAGTCATCGTTCAATATTCAAGTAAAATCATTTACTTCGCTTTGAATTTGTGAATTGTCGCCCCCCGCCAGTCTTGGACATATTTCCGGTACTTCTGTCGTTTGATTTGGATGCATTTGAGCAGGGACTGCCATTTCCGTATTCAAAGGTAGCTCAGTAACTCTTTTGGCACCATCACCACCGGCACTATTGCACACAGTATTTTGGGTATTTTCCATTATACTTTTTTGTATACAACAAATATCGTGTAAACTGAAAAGAATCGATAGTGTCCCTTGAAGTTTGTTATAAGAAAAATTGTATAGCTGAATGTTATATTCAAATGTTTACGGAAAAACTCAAATAAATAAATTCCAACACTACGGAAAGTATTACCTCGGTAATTTTAATTTTTTTTTATCGAAAAAGTATGCGAATAAAACAATTATTATTTCGGAGATACTATCTCAGCGTTGTGCGTATTAATACTGAATTGTTAACCATAACGTTCGCATTCGCGCTATACCAACTCAATAAGAAAACAGATTATTTTTGGAGAGCCCCTTTGGACATTCTATTCTGGTAATATTACTTTCTAGCCGATTACACCGAAATCTATAAATATACTCACTCGCAAACTCTCGCGTTTGTAATGCAGCGTTGAGAATGTACGATCTCGCATCGTTCGTCGGTCGCTCGAAAGATCTCAAAAGTTTCATTTTTTCTGACAAAATAAATAACGATTCGATTGAAAATGAGTTAAAATTATTGCTTTACAAACTCGTTTGTAAATTGCGAAGAAACAATAAAATTTAGTTTGAATTTCGCGGCGCGGTAACTCCACGCGCCGCGCATAGCAGAAGTAGTAACGCCGTCACGACGCGTCTGCGACGATGCGCACTGGTCGGCCGACTCGAGTACAATGCAATGCATAACCGCAAGTGTTTTCTGCTTGAATTTTTTCAATAAAATGCTTTATTGTTAATTTTTTCATGCACGAATGAGATGAAATCGTCGAAACATTCGATTGAAATGCCAACGACGGCCGATGCTCGCATTGTCATGCCCTTATTTTATTAGCAGAAGAAGATTCGACTCGCGAACAATCAGTCTGCTCTGTATTCCCCGTGTGCGTGAGATAGATGGTAACGTTAGCTGAGCGCCGAATCGCGTGAGCTCTTTTGCATTTGCTGTTATACACGTTTCTGCCTGGCGTTTCTGCATCGCAACCTCGCGCCGTTGAGGACGACAATTCATACCTCAAGAAGTTGAGAATTTGTTATCGATAAAATAGGGTAAATAACCGTTTCTATCATTGCTACTTAGGTTGAGGAACTTACGAGCTGCGAGAAAATATCATAGACGAGATAACCCCTGTAATATAGTCCTAGCCTAGTCCCCGGCTCAGAGACTGTGAATATCATCATCGTGCAGTCGCATAGAGTAACTCAAGATTTCTACATCGTTATAACCTAACTCTCTGATTTAGCAATCTACATTTTTCAAATAATTTCGATTGTGACGATGCATTGTACGCAATTTGTCTCACAAACTAGTTCTATGTCGAGATATGAGTCGAAATTTTTTATTATTGCTTGACAATCTTCAGGATTTATTTGACACATTTTCTGTACATGTGTATCCAGTTTTTCTCATTGTTCATATTTCATAACTCATCTCATAAGAAACTATTCATCATTCAAAAACCTTGAGTTTTTAATAAAAAAACTGTTACTTAGATATGTTGCCTCAAATTACTTCAATTCTTGTGACATTTTGTATTTATTAAAATTATCATTTATAAACTGCATTACATTATAAAATTTACTCATTTTGGAACATTTATATCAGCTTGTTAATTTTTAATAATTGAATTGATCAACTATTAGTACATTTTTAAGATGTAGATATTATAAGTGTTTTTTGTGTCTTGATAGTTAACTATGGATAATATTGATTTAAATTTTCTTATTGCAATTTTGGTTCATTCATTTCATCATAAATATTTCATTTTGTTATGTAATCATTTAATACATTGTACTTAAAGCTATTTTCTTATTATTATTTCAGAACATGGAAGAATACGCAAGAGAACCATGCCCTTGGAGAATTGTTGACGATTGTGGAGGTGCCTTTACAATGGGAGCTATTGGAGGTGCTGTATTTCAAAGTATAAAAGGCTTTCGAAATGCTCCCAGTGGAATGAATAAAAGATTATTGGGAAGCATGATGGCAATCAAACAAAGATCCCCAATCATTGCTGGTAATTTTGCAATTTGGGGTGGCATGTTCTCTACTATAGATTGCACACTAGTACACTTCAGAAAAAAAGAAGATCCTTGGAACTCAATCATAAGCGGTGCTGCCACAGGAGGTATATTAGCTGCAAGGAACGGTGTGCCAGCAATGGCAGGTAGTGCAATAATTGGAGGAGTTTTATTAGCCCTCATTGAAGGAGTTGGTATACTATTCACAAGACTTTCGGCAGAACAATTTAAACCGCCACAGCTTGTTGTTGACGATCCATCACAACTTGGACCACCACAAGGAAATCCTTCGTAAAATGTACATATGTATAAATAGGATTATATTCATAGACTATTTTATCATAAATTTCAAAGACAGATAGTTGACTACTATAATTGTTTGATCACTTATATGATGAATGTGTATAGATTATCAATTTTTTAGGCTAAGAATAAAAATTAATGATCGTTTTGTTTTAAAATAGATTCTTTTTATTTTCCTAGTTTACCTTACATTGGGAATAATTTTTTTACTTAAGCAGAATATCAAAAGTGAAAATTGAGTAATTTTATTTACACTGTTTTATCTTAGTGAGCAACATTTCTGTAAATACTGTTGTGGTAAATCAATATTTTCATCAAAATTAATCCTCATCCTCTTCAATGCAATCAAATTTGGGTATACTGAGATCAAGATGTTGTGGCTTACGATTACGTTCAGTTTCTATTACAATATTTCTATCAGTTGAAGCATTAGCAGAGGTGGCATTTTCTCTTTTTCTAATTTCAGTTTGTATATTTAGTTGCTCTACCTATAAAATTAAAATTTTATTATGAATAACAAATAAATTGATGAAATAAAATTTGATTTCATTTATTCTTACTTTTAGAGCATCTAATTGTGCATCTAATTTTGCAATAATTTTTTGTATATATTCTGCTTCCAATTTTAAGTCTTGCTGGTAGACTATGAGTTTTGCAACGCTATCTTTGTCTTCATTCATTTTGTATTTTTAAATGAATTCGTAATATTTCTGATGCAAACAGGTCTCTATACGCTACGAAGAGTGCACTATAAAAATTTGAGAATTCATTCATTAACATCAAAGAACGTATTTATTTTACGTCACTAACTCTATACGTACATGATGGTCACTACTGCTTTCTAAACTAAGGTTCGTTCTAGTATCCTCGGTAACTTTGACGTTACACAAAACGTATATAACCCAAGTAAGGAAAGGTAAAATTAAAACGGAGTTTCGCTAAAATTGAAATGTATTTAACACGAGGATCCGAAGGATATTTGAAAAGCTACAATTGAAAAATTATGTTTGGAGTGCTTTTGATTTTTCGAGATGTTGCTCATAAATAAAGAACGATCAGTTATTTCGATATGTATAAATAGGAATAATTACACTCTTTACAATAAAATCACGCTTAAAATTATAAACTTAAATTTTGACATTGCCAGATGTGCAATGGCTATGATTTTAATTGTATTTTTTAAGATGAATGTTGCAAGACATAAATAACTGTGAAAAAATAGTAGAAAAATAATAGAACGGGTCGTACACGAGCCAAGACGCACACATATACTATACTACTTTATATATGCACTTACATTCTCAGCTCATTACCGAATTAAATGACCAAGATGCACCTACCGTTAATAACGTAAGGGTTTTTTTCGATTTTTTCGACCCCTCCCCCTGTAGTGGTTTTCCTATCCCTCACAACACGATCAGTAAGGAATTCGGCCACCCCCCCCTCCTCTCCCNCCCCCCCCCAAAGACACTTACGTAATTAACGGAAGGCCCCTGAGCACTTATCTAAAACGAACCAATAGACTCTCAAGTAGATCATGAATGCCAGCCAATGATAACCGGTCAAAGACTCATTCGAAAGTATACGTCATTGCCGCAAGCATTTCGCTGCTTGATTTTCGTAAAAGTAATTAGTGATTTTCGAGAGATAACATTTTGTACGAACCAAATTGTAGCTATCTTTTTGATGAAGCTAAGAAAAATTTCAGTCTATCGAAAACTCTCGTCCCAAAAGCATCAAAAGCACATTCGTGGATCATGATTGTTTTTCGTGTGTAGTAAACTTTACCGTGCTACAGTTTAAAAATTTTGTGTTGTTTAGATTTAAATTTCAAAATCGTAAAAATGGAACTCTTCCCGGAGTTAGACTTTTCATTTTTGGAGGATTTATGTCAAAATATAGTGCCACTATTTGAGTCGAAAGACGGACAAGGGTCCAACCAACAACCAAACAGCGTACAAGTGCACCCAGAGAATGATATAGGTCAAAATAATCCAGAGCAATATCAACAAGTGAGTCAAAGTCAGGTGGAGAACGTTTCGATGCAGCACACACCAATAAACAATTTTCAATGGCAGCAACAATATAATATAAATCAAGTAGTGCAACTAAATATTCCGAATGGATCGAACGTGGATCAGAACGATTTAACACAAAGTATGCAACAACAACAACAACAACAGTATGAACCGGTGAATACTCTTCACCAGTTATCTAGTCCCTCGACACAATATCAAGTTCTAAAAGAGAACACGTCAAATTATCAAAATAATAACCAGTTTCAAGTGGCGCAAAGGGAACAAAATAAAGTTATTAATGGAACAAATTGTAATTTGAAACCATTAAAAAGTGTACGAAGTGCACCTTATCAATTACCGAGGACTACTACCAATATCTCGGCACAATATCCAGTGTTGAAAAACTTGAAAGTTCAACAACAAAATAATTTGCACTTCGTGACGCAACATAATGTACAATTTGAATACCAATCATGTCCAACGAAAAGCAACGAAGTAGTCGGAAGTGTACAACCTTTTGAGTCTAATAGTTCATCATATAATTTAGCAACCGATAGACCGATGAATAATAACTCAGAACAGCACCAACTATCGGAAAACATAAAGTTTCAGTACCACGATAACCTTCAATGTGTACAAAATCAACAAATCACTTCAGAAAACCCAGTGCAACAAAATTCAAATGTTCACGTACAATTTCGGCAAGTTAAAAAAGAACAAGGAACTGAACATTTTAATCCAATTTCGAAGCCAGTTGATGTGCAGGTCACTCAAAAACAAAAAAGAAATCGAACCGCTTACACGTCAAAACAACTTGTCGAGCTGGAAAAGGAGTTCGAAAGAAGTTCATATATAACCAGACCTGTCCGAATTGCTCTTAGCAACAATCTAAATTTATCAGAGCGCCAAGTCAAGATATGGTTTCAGAATAGAAGAATGAAGAAAAAAAAGGAAGATAAACAAAAAAACGAATTACCTTCTTCAAATACGTAAGATGATACCTCGTTTAACCATTTGCTACATTGTTTATATAATTTATACGTAGCGATAAATTTTGTTTATAAAATTGTTTTTCGTTAAAAAATATACCAAAGTAAGAATAGAAGTAACGAATTAGATTTAAGTTTTTTAAGGGAGTTATATAAAAAATGACTATCGATAGAATCTTTTGTAAATTTTAACTGCTTCTTGTTAAAGTTGCTTTTCATAATGCAGATGCTCAGCGATAAAATTTCGAGATGTAACCAATCAAAGTTTAATACTTCAACGCTAGATCTCTATGATAGCATCTTGAATAGGCGCTTTTTGCATGATTATAAAAAAACGCATCGATAGAATTTGTTCAAAAACTAGGAGATGATTGTCCAGCGTGTATTGAAAGCTAGCTTAAAAAAAACACCTGTCACTACAGTTTTTGAGAAAAGTTGATTCAAAGCTGTCAATTCGATTGTACTTTGAGCCGCGAAAGCATGAATGCATGTACACGAGTGAGCGTGTGTGAGTCCAGTCACATTGTAAAATTTTCAAATTGGCTGCGCGGGAGAGCACGGGTACAGTCTGCGGTGTTGCGATAAAACTGATTGATTCCGTCTGTGGCGTAGGAACTACCTTAAGAAATTTTCTAAGGCTTCTGTCGAGAAGGATCTGTTGTGTGCTTCAGAAAGTAACAAAGTGAAGGTGACTACAGAATCGTTCAAAAAATATTTGCGACGTTTGATGGTTGCTAAAGAACCTTAAACGATAACTGATAGTGTATGAGTAGATGATTTACAATAAATTGTCAATTTGACAGAGCACGTTATTTGTATGAATAATGAGATGCATCTGGTCAAATCGCCTCAAATTGTCGCGTTATACTGTAAATAGTAATTTTAAAAAAAAATTGTAATATATGTATTTCTTTGTATGTATGCAAAAAATTATCAAATATTCATATAGTAATTTCCCATTTTCCAATAATCCAATAAAACTTTCCTAAATATTTTTTATGCAAGGCTCTACGGAAACATAATGATAAAGTAGACAGGCCCTAAAAAACATTAAGTTAAAGGAAAACATTTAATTTGACATTATTTGTTATTTATTTTAATAAATTATTGATAAATGTATACTTAGATGTGGAGTTCGTTGACTTTCATCATTGGGCCGACGAAAGATCTCAACAAAAATCCAAGAATGGAAAAACATTACTTTTTTAAAGTTTAGAGTAAGATCACATACCATCCAAGCCACAAATTATTCTTGAAAAATATAAACTATGTAAACCGCATGAAACAATAGAAACAGAGACAGTGTTTTCGTTTATATTATTGTGTAATCATTCAAACTTAATTATCTTTTTTTTTTTTAAATCAATGCATGTATTTTAAAGCAAATGTTTTGAATAAATTCTATTGTTTCTTGTTGAGAATTCAGTGTAAGCACTTTTTGGATTGATTTTCGAATGGCTATTAGTAAAAATATTATTAATCATAAGTAAATTAAAAATTGAGACTATCATGTAAAATCATGATTTGTAATAAAACGTAAAATTACGAATGATTTCGAACATTCAAGGCATTTATATTTTGTATGTATTATTTTAAGGATTTTGAATTTAAATTATTATTACATATATTCAAAAATAGTATTTAAGAATAAACTTTAATTAATTTGAATTTATGAAGATTATTCATCTCTGTAATGAAATGTAATAAACTGTAATAAAATGTAATAAAGAGTCGAAAAACAAAAATTTATTTTTAATATGGTGTACAACATTATTGCATATTTCATCTTGACCTTTTTTCCACTAGCTTGATTATCTTATGAAATAAAATCTCATATCTATGCGTGCATGAAAACCAGATAAAATTATAGACAAATTATAGTTTGTGACAAAAAGATTTGATATCAACGCAACTGCAACGCAAGAACTACAATAATACACTTGAAAAGCTACGCGTGCCTCATTCCCAGACGATGGCCTTACCTAGCAAGTAGGTGGTGACGCGTACTGGCTTGACGGTGCCTGAATCGATTGAGCCAAAGTATAAAAAAATTATTAAAAAATTACTTAAAAATACTATTTACAATGACCAATCGAAAAGCATTAAAAAAGGAAAATACTATCGATGGAAGTTCAATTTTTTGATTGAAGAAGCTGAAAATGTCTATACTCCTTTTTGAGACTTGTACCTAACTTTTCTAAAAAAAAAAAAAAAAAATCACAGCATCTTCTGAACGATTGTTTAAGTCATTCCCAAGCAGTTAATTTGAGAAACTATTGGAGTTCATTGTTTCTATTTTGATTATCATTAAATACCCAGCTCATATCGCACGACCCTTATCACCAAGCATGAAGCCGAGAGACTTTCTATACAGTCTTCCTCTACTAATATCTCTAAAAATCTCACTTAAGTTTCACGATTTATCAGAGATACAAGAATACTTGCATTTCTTTAAGCATAAGATTTTGGCTTACAATAAAGTTCGGTGATTGTAGGTGTAAAAAAACGATCCTTCGATTGATAAAACGATGAATCGAACTTTATTTATTTTTAAAAAAATTCTCGTCGACTTGAAGGTATACTTGCAAATGTTTAACATAGATTGGAAGTACTACTTTGTAGTAATTATTCATCTATTAAGCCAGTCAATCGCAAAATGATTCCTCCAAAATAACATTTATTGTATAGTAACAGCATACTAATAATAAATCGACAGTTAAGAGAAATTGGTATTTTTGAAAAAAACCTCACTATTTAAGACTTTTGGTATCCTCAAATACTGTTTAGGGTACGCGTGCACCTAGGTCTTGTTTTGGGGAATTAGATAGACGGGGACGTTGGCATTATTGTGTCTTTCGTCACATTGATAACGAACAGCTATTAATCAGTTAGCTGCAAATAACCGGTTGCAATCAACACACTCCCCATGTTAATAAGGGATAACACTACCCCAAGATTTTTTTAACATGCTGAACTTCGGTAATTTTTTGCGGTGGTCGCCATAGATCATTTAATTTGGGACTTTAGTAACTAATAATACATGCCTTGAAGAACTCAAAAAAATTTTTTATTGATTTTCATAACAAAATGGCGGAGTAACTGTGAGTTCAGTGTAACAGTAGACATGATCAATGGTTTTCTTATCTTAATAGTCATTTAATGTAATCCGTTCGGCGCCAAGGAAGTGAGACGGTCCATCGTAAACTTAAATCTTTCGGCGCCAGAATGTCTGATGAAGTATAGACAATAGTCTGGTAAATGATGAATGATATTTTAACTGAGCCACGAAGGATGACAGATTTCCCAAAAAAGTAATCGAAAAACGGCTTTTTTATTTTTCATGTATTCTGTACACTTACTAAAAGATTGAAATAAACATAATTTCGTGTAGTTGAGTTATTTTTCTAGTTCGAGCCGAGAACTCGAATTTTCGGGTACTCGAATTTTTCCAAAATTCCGAATCATACTCTCTCACTCAAAGAAACAAACGCACAAGATTAACAATTTTTCTAAATAAACATTATGTGTGGTCTCAGTGAGAGACCGGACACCCTACCGACGGCAAATACATCAATCGTAGCTCTGACGGGCGCGTCGGCGCGTACGACTCATATTAATACTTCTACCCGGGTCTCGGCCGCCTGACTCGCCACTCGCTGTCGAGATCATCTCCTGGGCTGAATTAGGCCGTGAGATGTCTTTCTGGTGACCTGGTCTGCTCCATCGTTGAATTATCCTGTTCCATTTTGCGCATTTGAAGGTATTAGCGCCAACATTCGCAATTCTTATTGAAGGGACTTAGGACCTCCAAATTCATGCGATTCTCACCGATTTCAGCTAAACATCTCCGAGGGATAGGAAGAAGGGAGATAAGAGGCAGAAGAGTCTCTTCCCTCACTCGATTTACTTTGTTGGTGTGGCGGGGAGCTCATACAACGGAACTAAAAAGCGTAGTGGGAGGCGAAAGGGGGAACGGGGATTGGACCTAAAAAGTAGGAGGAGCTAATACACTCTGGATGATGGTATAGGCAGCCATGCGAAAAAAGTCATCTCTAAAATGCTTCTTCTTCTTCTTCTTCTTAGACTGTGAAAAATATCAGTTGTTCGAAGACGCTCGTCTCGGAAGCATCAAAGTGACGTGAATAATAATCGTAATTCCAGTCAGTGCAATTTTAGAGTTCAATTTTTAAAATTTTTGTGGTTTTTGATTTTGATTAAAAAAAAGTGAAAATGAACTCCGTTATTTCAATTCCGTGCCCCGATAATCTTCAAATACCACATGCCAATGTTGCACCATCAAGAGAATTCGCAGAGGCCTATTTACTGGAAGTTGCAAATAACTCAACATTGGAAAATATAGACTATGACTATGAAATGTTATCGTCTATAGATGCTGCATTATCGGAACACCAACTACCATATAGACAGCAGGACAATATCCAGAACACAACAGCGCAAGAATCAGAAATCGAACTAGTCGAAGAATGGCTGAATGAAAAGATGCAAAGGGATAAACAGCATGATCCAGAATACCAAACACCACAGACAATGCATTGCAGCATGCAAAATAGCGCAGTGCATTATTCAAATTATCAACCACCAAAAACAGTGCATTACATCATCCTAAATAATCCAGAATACTCTGTAGAATACCATTCAACGCAAGCATTTCAATACAGAATTCAAAATAATGCAGTGCAATATCCAGAATGCCAAAGAGCATCTACTGAAATGAAATCGATTTTAAAGTCTGTTGATGAGCAGGACACTAAAAAGCCCAAGAGAACTCGGACAACCTTTAGCACAGATCAACTCCTTGAGCTTTGTAGAGAATTCGAAAAAAATAATTATTTAAAGAGATCGGTTCGAATTGAACTTAGCGAAAAGCTTGGATTATCAGAGCGCACAATCAAGATATGGTTTCAGAACAAAAGAATGAAAAATAAAAAAGAAAAAGACTCAAATATTGTAACATCTACGAATATAGAACAATAACATTTGTTTATTTGTAACAAATAAATGTAATGTTTAGGAGGTCGGAGCAATTATCTCACAGAGCACATTATTTTCATGAATAATGAGATGCATCTGGTTAGAATTGCGTCAATATACCATATTGTATTATATTGTACATAGTAATGTTTGAGAAAGCGTATAAAAAAATATAAAATGTCAAAAGAAATAATAAAATAATAAAATAATAAAAAAATGTGTGTAAAAAAAAATTATGAAATATTTGTCTTTTAATATTACTTGCCTTTTCCCGTTTACAGATCAATATAACGTATTAAAATACAATTTGTAAAATTTTCCCTTTTAAAGTCATGTAAATTATCGAGTTACACTTATTTAGTTAGTCTATTTATTTTTATTGCAAAGTTTTGCGACGGCTCTCTTTCTTTTGTCTGCTTCTCTCCGAAACTTGTGCTTGCTGAAACAAGCTCGCGATTGACCAACTAAAATTATGAATTTTTTTCATGCAAATTTCTTAAATTTTCAAAATCAAAAATCATTCTCGTTGAAGTACTTATATGATTACGTGCCCAAGGAGAAACAAACTAGAAAGCCTCAAAGATAAAAATGTGCTCTGAGGCTTTCTTCTTTCGCTTCGCAGGTGCGTATATTGTTTTTTATGCTACTCCCGCCGAAACTAACTTTTTACGGTCAAACCGCAAAAGTTCATTTTTGCTTAGGGGTTGGCGAAAAATAGCGTGCGCACTTACGAAGTGAAAAAAAAAGTAATCAGAGTAGCGGGCGATAATGTGAACTTTGTCGTATGTGATAACGTAGAAACATCGGATGCTTCAAACAAGCCATTAACTATTACACCCGCAATGCAAGGTGGGCAAGCCTCGTGCACAAGAAATTGATTATTATTCTATCTACAGGTGTCTACTATTACGTGAACTCGTTAGCGAGGTGACGTTGCTGGTTTTGTGTAACAATGGACACGATCAAGTCATACTTATCTTAATGGTATAGTAATTTAATGCAGTAATCCGTTCGGCGCCAGAAAGTGAGGCGTTCTATTGTAAACTTAAATCTTACGGCGCCAGAATGACTGATGATGTCTGGAAAACCGTCTGGGAAAGGATGGACGATACAAGAAGCAAGACGCATTTCTCGCCATTTCTCATCAGTTGGCCACGCCCATTGCTTATAGATCGGTCACTCCCCGTGGTTATGATACGCGCACCAGTTGTAAAACGTGAGAGATATTCTAAATCGAGACAAGTTCACAGCTTCATTGCCGTAGAAAATTTCACCTTATCGTGTATTTCGTTATCAAAACGATGCATAATGAACAAATGTAGAGGCTGAACTGATTACTCATATACATCTCCGTAGTCAAATAGTTAACTTTATTTTTTTGTTGCTTACAAAGAGAACGACACATGACTTTTGATTTAGGATATTGACTTTAATTTTAAATAATGGTGAATAAGTTTTAGAAATAATTTTTTTTTTACCCCAGCATAAGTAGTGCAACTTGACCGAAAATTTGAGGTTTTCAAGAGGAAATATTTCCAACGTATGCAAATATATAATTTTTCAACAAAACTTATTATAGTACCCGTATTAAACTTGAGCTACTGGAATCGTTCTAACTGTAGCGATGTTATCTCAGATTTTCTTTCTCCAATTTCTTCTTCTGAACAAATTTATTTTATTGTAACTATATAATAAAACTGATACTGACAAAATATGTATTTCAATAAGTCCGTGAAAATGTACCACTGAACGAATCAATTTTCTTTGACAAATTTATTTGTATATTACTTGGTTAAATTTCTTCTTTGCTCTTTCAGATTTACACAAAAAAATTTTTTTCAATTTCCACTCGGGTCAGCTTGAATTTCAAAAACAGATGAAAAAAAGAGTCTGCAACTCACACTTAAGCTTTAAAATATTGAGATATGTTTATTTGTATGAAATGTATAATAACCAAAAAATCAATATTTAATTTTTCAATATTCATAAATGTCATATCTCAAGAAATTTAATGTTAACGAAATTTAACGATCAACTGTAAAGTTAAGGATTTTAATGACAGCCCTGTGGCTGGTTTGAAAATCAAAATTATTTAGACATAAAAGAATTATTGAGAACGAATGAAAGATTTGTTAAAAAGTCGATAAGGTAGAAATTTCTGCAAAGACTATACAGTAGGCAGATTTTTATTTGCGCAGTGAAAATAAAATTGTTTTAAATGATTCATCAAAGTCTTCTTTTTTTTGGACCGGACTGCAGAGTAGTTGCATGCAGATTTTCTTGGATCCGACTTGTTGAAATCCTAAACGCGCTGACAATCGTGAAATCTCAAATAAGCTTTGATAGAGCGTAATAATTTGCATAATAATTATAAGACAGTTACTAAATAGTTCTAAAACAAAATAAAATAAAATATATAATTGCATCAACGCGCATGTTGAAGAACTTTAAAATTGAGAAATAAACTAGTAATATTTTCAAATTTGACGCCTTTGAAACTGACAGTTTTATGTCGTCTGCAGCTTGAGCATATCAATAACATAACCCACCAAAATAGTGTTGTTCTCTACCAGAGTCAAATAGTTTTGTTTACAAATATCTTGTTTTAGTTTTGTGTTTTTACCAACAAATTTAAAAAATGGCATCCTCGAAAAAAGTGACCAAGGAAGATCTCAGAAAAGCTATGCTGGAGGCTAAAAAAAAACGTGCTGTAAAAAAAATAGAATCACCAATTGCCAGATATCCTTTTATACAAATTTTAACTTTTTTTAACATGTAATGATGTTGTAAATAATGCAATCAACTTTTTAAAAGTTAAATACATTTCATTAATCATTTTTTTTCTAATAGATTATTATTTTCCTTAACTCTCTCACACGTATAACGAACTAGATCAACTAGTATGTGTTGTATGCAAACTTGTAGTTAAAAGTGAAGCTGTATGGGCTGTACATCTCAATTCAAAAGTGCACAAAGAGAACACAGAACTTTTAAAAAAAGGAGTTAAGCCCACTCTATTGAAACCCGTAGAAAAAACAACTTCGAGTGTTCTGAAAAGATCATCATCAACATCTATTAATGGCTCTAGCGAACCAAAAAAACTCAAAGGAATATTAAAAAAAGATCCTGATACTACTGAAAATCAAAGACCAAGTGTACCAGACTTACCAGACGACTTTTTTGATAGTTCAAAATCTGTTACTAGCACAATAAGCGCAGTTAGTGTAAATCCAACAAGTAGTAATATAGATTCTGGTACAATACATGTGGTTAAAGCAGAAAAGTCAAATCCTGTTATAGAGCCTCCTCAAGAAAATAGAGAACCAAACTCTACTAATTTACCAGAAGGATTTTTTGATGATCCAAAAATGGATGCAAAGGTAAAAAAACATATAAATTAAAAGATTTCTTAAATCTTTTCTCAAGATTGTTCTATAGTTAATTAATACTTATTAATATTTCCAGGCCCGGCACGTAGAGTATAAGGATCCTAAAGAAGAAGAATGGGAGAAATTTCAAAAAGAAATTAAAGAACAAGAAGAACAGTCAGCTCTTATCATCTGTGAAAATCAAGAAGAAGCAGCAGAAGAAAGACAAATTGATGTTATTGAAGAACAAATGCGAAATTGGTCTCGTGTGTTAAAGTTGGTTGAACGCAAAGAAAAATGCAAAGTATTAGAAAGAAAAGAAAGTACTAGTGATTCTGATAGCGATGATGAAAACGTTGATGAGTTTTTAGATTGGCGAGCAAAAAAATCATAAGTCAAAAATTATTACAAATTTCATACTATTATTGTAAATATATATTTCTGTATAACATACTTTTTTTTTAATTAATAACAGGAATAAAGAAAAAATTTATTCTTACTTTCTCTACAATTTATGGGTTTGTTACTATTCACTACTGCATTAAAAATTTCAAAATATTAATAACATGAACTAAAAAAGAACATAAAAAGGATTTTTTATTTGGAAAAAAATGAAAAGAAGACACCGCTTTCTACTTGCAACACAATATGGTTAATAAAAATCAATGTAGTATCCCTCAGATTGACAAGTTTTTATTTGAAGATAGGACCAGTACAATCGTATGTAAGTTTAATTATTGTTTCCAGAAATTTATGAATATAGAAGTACAAAATTGTACGTACATTATAAAGATTTAAAGTGACACAAGACTGAGCTGTATTATATACTGTTAATTTTATTTCAGTAAATGCATTTCTATTCGATAATCTTTTTTGTATGCTTTCATTTTATATCTCTGTAAAGGTGAGTTGAACATTATGACGGTGAAATGAATGAATAATTACCAACATTTTTCTAGTATGACACTTCTTTTTAATAATTATTACAAAGGCAGATAAAAAATAGATAAATTTATAATGATTACTAATGACTACCATAAGAATTCAACTGTTTATTTACGGTAATTCACGCACAAAAACATAATATTATATTGAAAATCCATAAGTTAGAGGATGAATATCTTATTAAATAGAAATTATTAAACATTTAGTGTAAATTGAAACTTTACTAATCAATAACAAAACATTTTTTGGTATTGGATCAATGGACTTTTTAAATTTAATTGTATTTATATGCATTTTTTTTTTTTGAAGATGAATTTCAAGTCTGGATAAGCAAGTATTCTATTTGTTAACACATTTTTAAATTCTTTATTTATTCATTCACTTCATCATACTGACATTTTCATTCCTCGTTAATCCGCATGAAAAATGAGAGTATTGATTATAAATATAATAGATTCTCAATCATTGTAAAACAATATACTCTACCCCAAAAAGTATACTGAAAAAAATATTTTTGAATACATAGGTATAAGTATGACACAAGTATGTTTAATACACAACCAGTATGTAAATGATAAAATTTTATCGTCAAACTAAGCAGAATTCAACCCTGATCGTTCCGGTACTTCCCCAGTTGTTATTATTCGGAATTATCGAGGTTGAATGTTTCTTTCATTTGCAGTTCAACATTTATTTGAAAAAATGATACTTAATTATTTGATTCATTTTTCTATAATACTTATACGAAAAAATGAAGAAATGATCCGGATGAGCAAATAAAATTTCATGGAATGCGCCGCTATTATTTTTCAAGTATCTATAATCTGTAGCGCTTCATGACAATATATTTTAGAGGCACTCGTACCATTTAAAAAAAAAACAATATTAACTTTTTAAGCAGTTTTTTTGCCTAAATATAAATACGGTTACTTATTATGTTTATATTTAAGTAATATGATTATAATACGTATCTGTTTATTTGTGTGTATTTCAATTATTAAATCTGCTTACGAATACGTTCTTTGCTAGATTATTTTAATTAAGCAAAAGTTATTCTTATTTTAATTATTTCAACTTTCACAACAGCATAGATATTTATAAAGTTAAACGCCTAAAACCGAAGCAGAAACCTTCCCCTAATTTCTTTTCGGTTTTAGTACGTGTCTTATGATAAGTACGATTACTTCATGTGTGTAATAGCGCGACTAGTTATTACTCTTTAATATTATTATTTAACATTTCACTGAATGCATATATTTATCATTTATTTATGTAACACGGGTACCATCTTTTATATTTGATAAAATACCTTTCGTTAAATGAAGTAACTGATATTATTGTAGCGGGATTTTACGAATATCATTATGAAATGTGTAATTTTTTTCAGTTTTCAAAACTAGTTTTTTAGACATAAGTTACAGTTCGCTACCTACATTCATTCCTTCATTATTTTTGAAGCTTTTTCAATCACGCTACAAATTACGATCTATCATTTTATGCCAACAAATTTTATTGGACGATTGAATATTTTTTTGCAAAGTATATTAATCCCTATAAATATTAATGCATCATCACAGAATACAGAATACAGCACAAACACCACTACATTAGATAATAAACTTCTAAAGTTTTTGTTTGTATATATTTAATTATAGTTGATCTACGAAACTATCATAAACATTTATATATTAAGGAGATAAATAGTTAAAGGCAGATCAATGCTCATAACTTGCAATTAAACTAAGTTCATTTGTCATCTGTTGATGCTTTGTAAATTTTAGAGTATTCAATAATTGCATAACTTTAATTACGTTCTAAATTTGGTTACATTTTCTATTCTATATATATTTTTCTTATATATCATTATACTTAAATTACATTTATTGTATCTCTCAAACTATCACATTTAAGAAAAAAAAAGTTGATTAATTTCATTGTTATTTATAGCATAGGCACCGAATCGCATAGAGAGATTAAACAACATCATATTGCCGTTACTCTAATTGCATTTTTCTTATTAATAGAATAACTATATGTGTATTAGCTATTATATAGATTGGAAGAGAGATACATTGGGTAGCCATTGAAAAAATCCTTTATGAAAACAATATTATAACATTGCGGATTAACGATACTTACTCATTTTTTCAGATCTCGATTCTTACATTAATTGATCATTCATGAAAGCCAAAAGTAGCAGTGTTTAAATACATGTTATAATGATAACTTACGATTTCTGGAGACGGTATCATTTGAACAAGCTGATATTTATTTCCGAAAATTTAAAGACACCACACTTTTTTACACAGGTAAGAAAAACCTTTCCTGAATAAATTTAATTTATACTAAAAAAGAAATGCTAGATTATACAATAATATTTAAAGCTGTTATATCAAATGACATTTGAGAATTATAGACAAGATTTTACATCTTATTATACACATACACATTATATTCAAATATTTATTTTAGCTTTATTATAAATTTCCTTTTTTATTATGACATGATCGATTCACGAAACACTTTCATCTGGTCCCATTCGTAAGTGGCATGAAATTTTCCATATCTACCAATTATAATTCTTACACTTGATTTTTGCCATTTTCCCTGCTTTAACATTACAATTTGGTCGACACCTAACAATATTTTGATCAATCCTCTGAAAGTATTGGTCGTCTTTATAATATGATTTATCGATCATTGATATTTAATTTAGTATTTTTACGATTTTAAATGATCTTAAAATGAGTTTAAATTAAAGCGAATAAATATTTCTTATAATTTTCATTGTGATATAAATTTAAATACTGAAATTAGAGTGGAAAAGTCAAACGCATATGCAATATACTATATTATGATTTTAAAGCGAAGATTTTTTATTCTTTTGTTATCGAGAAATAGGCTTTTGTAAGCATTATATTACTTGCCGCAGCACATTAGAAAAAGTTTTATATCTAAATTCGTCTCTATGTATATTTATTTATAGTATCTTATACTTAATCTTTTGGTGTTGTAGATATTTCTAAAGAGTCAATTGTAACGGACATATTTTTGGAGCAAAAACGCATAAAAAATTAAAGATATAAACGTGCACGTTGGTAGATATTTTCCCGGAAAGGAGAAAAAATTGATCGCGAGTCAAAAATGGTTGTAATCACTTTTGAAAGTGTAAACATAAAAGAAACTATTTGAATTATTTTTATTGTTTTTAACTTTGGTATCGAATTTTCAGTTGTAATTTTAAAATTAGTAATATTTTTCTATTCTCATGTCATATAAGATTTTTGATTGTTCTTGATCGTGCACAAAAATTATTTAATATAGTACAAATATATATTACATTTCGATACGTATCATCTTGTCTTAATTCAAGCATCGGTAGCTTAGACTAAAAATTATCGACATAATCTTAGAGTAAAATAAATAGCAAGAGAAATATATTTACGATGCATACAATATTACAAGTTACGTACAATTATACAATCATACATTTACATTTATATTTTGGTCTACATGTATAGTAGTATTTTTATCATAAGAATTTTTTTCATATTATATAGTGATAGAAAGTCTAACGCAGGTAGTAATTTCGCAAGCAATGAATCCTCGAAAGTCACTCGGCATTACGGAAGTCATAATGCTTGCAGTGATCCCAACGAAGTTTTTTACCCCTTAAGATTTATTTTCAATAATCTCAACGGTGACGTTTTCCAGCGGTGGCTCGCCGCCACCGTTATGATGCGCGTGATGTTGACTGTTCGGCGGCGAGGATCTGGTGTTGTTGTTCGACTTGCCGGACACTGCGGAATTGTTGCCACTACTGCCACGACTGCCGCGTCTTGAGCCGGTCCTTGAACCTGGTGACAAGGGGGCACAATTTGCGTCCGTTATTCGGGTATCCTGTTGTGGTTGTTGTTGATGTTGCTGTTGTTGTTGTTGTTGTTGTTGATGTTGTGGATGTTGGTGGTGATGGTGATGTGCTGTGCCTCCTGCCGAGGCATGATGTGTTGAAGCAGCAGCAGCAGTAGCAGCGGTAGCAGCAGCGGCAGAGCGTTTATTCCCTTTGCCATTTGTCAAAAGGATTTTCTCTTCTGCCAAGCACAAAGCGATTCAAAAAACACACAAATACATGGCAACATTAAGCTCCGGTCATTGAACATCGCTACGTGATTCACAGCCGCATGTTTGTGAACGATTCAACTGAACGTGTGTGCGTACGCATCATCGATGACAGACAGTGAATGGATCGATGTTCTTTTTTTTCGAACATTGAGTTTAAATTCATCTATTGTGTTTAATGGCATCTTCGATATTTTTTTGTTCGGTTAAACACTTTTTTGCTAAAAAAGTGTAGACGATTAAAAACAAAAACGCACATTCACACGCTCAAATTCAAATGTTCAATAACGCTTTCTCTGAATTATATCGTATTTAATGTATGATTTTTAAAAATTGCTTTAGACATCAAAAACACGTTATAACATTAGCGTGCATTTATATGACATTTCATTAAATACTTCAAATATTTTTACGATAAATATTTGTTTGAGAGAATAATCCTTTTTATTTTATCATTTGGCAGAGAAGCATAGAAGCCAGTACTTATAGGAAGTACCTGGATAGCAGAGGCAACATTGCTTAAAATTACTAATAGAGTATCATAATGAAATAAGTGAGCTACACGTGTAACATCAAAAAAGGGTGCAACACAGTGCAATTGTGGCTACTTGCAATGAAAATCTATAAGCGTACTCAATTTCTATCAATGACGGGTTATTATGCTTATTCCGACACATTTTAATAAGAGATATCAACGTCGACTTTATATTTACAGTGCAATAATTTTAGATTATTCTATAATATAATAAAATTTTGATTATTTATACGATCTTTTTTATAGTCATTTAAGTTGAAAAAATATGTTAGTACCGATCATTGCTATTTTTTACTTAAATCATGCCCGCGCGTATATGTACATCTTTGCAGGTTCGGCAAAACGTAACGAGTACGTAACTGTTAAAAAAACCAAGCATGTATCCACGAAGAATCGTATATCGTACGCGTGTATAACGAGGCGATGAAAAATAAAAAAATGCCCATATAAAGCCCGATAGTTTATCAGCTGGCCGCACGTATATGCAAATTGAAGCGCGAAAAAGCATTTCTTTTTTTGCATTCGATACCAGGACTAACGAAGCTATAGCAGCTACATCTAGTGTTAAGCGCGCGACGTTGGGGGAGGTGGGCGAATGGAGAGAGAAAACGGGGGAGCTAAATAATTTCAGGGTTTGTCGAGTTTGAAAAAAAAGAGGAAAAAAAAATCGAGTGTGTATTATTTCATGCAGAAAAACTGAAACGCGTGACTATAACACATCTTGGAAAAGAAAGCGCACGTTTATTTATATATTATATATACACCAACACATGTATAAATAAACATATATATAATACAGTTACGTATATGCATGCAACGTCTGGTTCGTGAGTTAGGTACGTTTCGCAATAAAAGCTCAACGTCACGAACCGACGAACGAACGAAACCAGGAAGACAGTAAGAAAGAAGGAAAAAAGAAAACGGCGAGAGAAAGAGAGCAAAGGTTTAGCTGCATGTATTAATGAATGTTTGTTTGGTAGTTTTTAACTTGTGTGCGTGCGAGTATGCGCGAATCAGTATCCTCATTAGTGAGCGAAAACTGTCATCGCTTGTAATTAACAAAATGAGATTAAATTTTATCCATAAAAACATCGATAACTATATGCGTATTGTGAAAAAATTAATTGAACGTCTGCTTTATCCTTAATTTAAAAGCAAATTTACTTTTTGACTTTAAAACATGGCTTTATGTTAAAAAACTCTACAATTCTTCAAGTATGGAATGAATTAGGATTTTTAATCAAACTAGAAAAATGTAGACTTAATGCAAGTATCAATAAATTCGATTTCATAATACGCTTGTTGACCATTAAAAAATTTGCACAGTTGCAGGAGCAGTGTTAACTGTAAAAAATACTAAATGAAAAAGTTATCGTGAATTTTCGGTCGTTTTGAATGAAAAAGTAGTAAAAGTTTGAAGTAAGAAAAATGAAATCAAGATACTGCAAGGGTACAGTTATAAGAATAAATTACAACATGATAAAATATGTATTAATGAATGAATGCAGAAGATGATACAGAAGGAAATGATGAAAATGTTTTGGTTTCATCACTTAACTAGAGCAAGTGCAATCAATTCAATTTTTTTCATTCAATTGAAGTTATTTAAGGGACAGTACCACAGTACTACAGTTCGTGTATTTAAATCGAAACAAATCCTTTAAATTTATTTAAACAACAGAAGCTAAATAGAGAGTTATAAAAATACCTACTTTTTTGATCGTTTATCATGTATGTCATAGAATTTGTAGAAGAAATAAAATGTAGTTGGCGCATACGCACAGATAGAGAGACAGAAAGAAAAAGTACTACCGAAGAGACGCGAGTTACGATCTATCAACCATAATGCAGCAGAGTAATAGAAAAATTAGAAAAGCGTAAAGGACGCGCTAGTCTCTCATTTTGTCATCAGCATCATATACATAAAAATAATTATATTATCATTATTCATCGCTCATTATTACGAATATGCATAAAGGCATTCGTCTTTTATCTATCTGCAAACTGCAGGTCTCCTCTTTTTCACATTTTTTTTCATTTAGTGGGAATAAGAAATTTAATTTATTTTACCAACCTTTTATTTTATTTCTTAATAATTTACTTGTAATAAAATATTTAATACAACGACAACTTTTTTGAAAGATCTTGATATTATGTAAATTTGTATTTTTTTTGGCAATAAATTTAAATAGCAAACAATTTAAAATATTTCTTAAAAGAGGATAAGAAAAGTAAATACGTCTCAAAATACTCGTTTGAAAACATTACTGTCAATTCGCATTAATTATTTTCACGATATTTCTAACATTGTTAATTTTAAGTTTTTGAATTCATTATGATTCTATTGAACGGAGACCGTAAGCTCACAACTTGATAAAAAAACTGATATCCTAGTATACATATACAGTATATGTACAGAAATAAAATTTATAAAGAAATAGAGATTATTGCAGGTTATATTTATAAGTTACTTGTGGAAGATACTAATCAAGAAATTGTTCTAATTTTTCAAAGTCATCTATAAAGTATTACGCAGTGTATACACGGTAGAATCATAATCGAGTACGATGGCTAGCCGTATATACACTATAGTAGATTCAGTATTATATCGGGAAGAGAAGAATATATAATCATTTGTATTCGCTTGCTTATAGTAAAGTGAAATGAATAAAAGACCCGTACGGTTGAGTCGCTGTTGTTGTTGCGGATGTTGTGAGTGTTTCGCACCTTGCGACGCGTTGGGCGAGTGCGCCCTGAGCGAGGCCATGGAAGGCTGGCGCGACGGGCCCCGCACACTGGCCCGCGAGCCTCGTCGCTCCTGGCCGGCGTGGAGCAGCTTGTTGTCCGCGCGCAGCAGCGAGACGTTCATCAGGCGGGCGTTGGGCGTGTTGAAGATCGTCCGATTCTCGCGCCAGCGAGCTCTTAACATTTGCACAAGTAAATTGTTACATCGTGTATATGCATAGAAAATGTTGTATACGATATTCAATTGCGATCGTTGAAAATTAAAGCTCAATTCGGTACACAGGATTAGCGAGCAAATATAGTCGGCGGTGATTGCCAAAGGCTTTTCGAGCCGAGCTGAGGCTAAATTTTTATGACGACGACGGGGGCTCGAGTGTATACGAGCCAATATAAAGTGAAGCTCGCGCTCGTTCCACTCAAGTGCCACGCGGGCAATCAGTGAAATGTGCAAGTATTTGATCGGGCTTGCGTTTATACGCTCTTATTTCGTAGCTAAACGATTGTCAAACACCGCGCGAATTGCTTTATATTGACCTTTTACAGTCGCTGGAAAAATATTTTGGAACGAAAACAACGGTATATATATGAACTCACTGGCTGAACAAACGAAGAACGACGCAGAGGATGATGAACATGAGTGCCATTCCAGCGAGTATGCCAATCATCGCTGGATCGATGTAGCGCAGGTCCTGCGGTTCCTTCACTTCGGCTGCCATCCGAGAGATTCAATGAGCAAATATATTAATTTAGTTTTTCCATAATTTCCGGCAGAGAGCCACGATCTCGCCTCGAGTAATATAGAAATTCTTACCGATGCACTGGATCGATCCGTCTTTGTTCTGAACGGGAATTTTCTCGAAGATGCAAATGCAGCGGCCGTCTCGGCATTCCGTCTGGGCGACCGTCACCTCGCATTGTTCCGTGAAGAAGCAAGACTCGTTGATATTCGCCGCTGCGAACGAGTAATTCATATCACCCTTCGGTATATAATGGATCGATCAATTCTTTAACTTTTGTCATACGTGTCCCTATGTTCTCGACATTATTATTAATCTGCTCTTAATAACCATGTAAAATTTTATAAAATAAAAAGATTCAATAAGCAAGTTTTATTTTTAAAAAACTTAGACTTTTAATATGCTATTTGCATTAAATTACTTAAACTTGCGTGGATAATATTATATTATAATCTTTTAGCAATTTCATATTTTTATATTTTTAAAAGAACTCACGATGTCCACATTTATCAATGTGATTAGTTGCTGTCAGTTCTTCTCTACAAAGACACTTCTTGACTGCTGGATCGCAATATGAGCCATCGAACCCACATTCGGAATGTTCTTTGCAATCATCACTGAATTTTTTTGTACCTCGATCGGACAAGCCTATAAAAAAATAGATTTTCCATTTAGTTTGGAAGCGTCATGTTAATTTTGAAACTTTCATCATAATATTCAATACTTTAAGTATTCTTTTCATCCATATTCAAAAGTAACTTCAGGCTTATCAGAATTATTAATTTTCATTATATATGGGCCGATTCAAGTCAAATGATGTGGCTAAAAAATGAAATTGCATAATTTCAAAGGACTTTTTTGAGTATCATTTTCGAGTTTCGAACCATAATAATATAAAATAAAAACTGTCAGAATAAAATCTCTTTAAATGTAGACACAATACTTTAGGTATTTATTTCATTAAATTTTCATATACCCATTTTATTCTGAACGAGAAATTTCAAAAAAAGCCCGAATTGCGGTTGAAAAAAATTGATAAGAACCACAAATTGCAGTGAAAAAAGCTATCAGAGCAGGAGATGAAAACGAGTCTATCTATTCATGGGCCGAGCCGTTTAGATGTATCGAACTATATATGCCGAAGTCGATTGGATCTATGCAAGCTCGATTTGCAGCCAATATTGAAATGTCCATAATTCATTTCGCATCAGCAGTCGTTACATCTGCCAAACGTTGCGCTGTATACATATGACCCACCGAAAATAATCTCTGCCTCCGATGCGTCTGGCACTATGAATTTTGCTCCCTCGAACGGAATAATAACAATAATCACTGTACGATAATAATAGTATTATAATAATCTGTATGATGAAACGGACAAACCGAGGGGCGTTTATTTGATACGCTAATCCCTGACTATGGCGATAGCATTTCTTCAAAAAAAATTTCACTGTCTGCTACGCAGATTTCGTCGAAGCCGGTAGATAAAGAAAATTTATTCTACGCGTCATAACTTATCACATGATATTTTTTAAATCATCGATGTATCATCGATATATAATAGTCCACGTTTTAATCTACGTAACTTGGGAACGCTCAAATCTTAATGACAGCAAGAAGAAAATTTCTACACAATGCTATAGCACTTGATAAGTTTCAAGATACAGCTGAACTGAAATGCTTGATACAATGAAACTTCGTGTCATAGAAACTCGAATCTTTTCTGACATTTTCAGTCGTGAAAAGTTTTGGGTAATTGCTGAATACGAAATAGTATTCAGCTAATTCTCGAAAAATTTTTTTGCTAAACTTGATTGACTATGAAACTAAGAATTTTAGAACAAAATTATATTCCTAAAAATTCAGTATGCATATTAAAAGTTGGGAAACCTTAAATGTACCTTCATATGCTGTATAATGGAAGAGCTTATTTATCATAAAAATAAGGATCGATGTAAAATATTATCAAATCAAATATCATATAAGATATTACTTATTCATTGATTAAAAATACGAAATTATTTAATAAATATCTCGATTGTATAAATATCAAAAAATCAAAAATTTAAATCGAATGAAATTAAATTCTTAATTCTGTATAAATATAAGCGATTGTCGTATTTATAAAGTTGCTGGTTAAAATTAAAACGTTAATTTAATCTGAAAAAATAACGGGTGAGATATAAATTTAATAAAAACACAGGAGTCGTTTGTATATTCAACGAATTCAAATATGTTAAGCTTGATAAATTACACTCCTACAATTATACGCCGAATGATAATGGCACCTGCAATTGCGCTTTTTTGTTGTTGATTAATTCTCTGATAATTCCCGGCGAGAATGTCGCGCTATGCAAATGTGAATGGCGCGAACAAGACCGAAAAAGTCAATAAGATGGCATGGTTTGTACACGAGAAATTACTCGATAACATCCATCAGAACCCCGCTGTAAAAAAGCTTCAGAAAACTCTATCGCAAGCTTAAAATAAAGCTTGACCCAATTCGCATCACGAACAAAGACTCCTCACTTGCTACAGTGGGCTGGAAGTAGCAAAGATGCTGCCCAAAAAATGTTATTTATTACTTCAAGAGCGCTTAAGGTTCTTTTTTAGGCGTCCGAGCACGGAAAAGTCGGCTTATTATGTAATGTATAATGAATGATTCTCTTGTGAAAACTGCATCTTGTAGCAAGTGCCGATGGCTTATTAGTAATATTATTTTTTTCGAAATTCGTTTGATACAACTAATTCGAACAACCATTAGAGTATATCCTGATATTCAAATCTATCTAATCAGAATATTCACTTCATATAAGTAAATGTTTGCAGCAACAAAAAAAAAAGAACGCAGCAGCTATACGCTTCGTCGAGTAACTTATATTCTTATCTGAACGCTGCTGATGCTTCCAGTACTTTTTCGGTTTAAGCTCTGCGACTAAGACTGCTAAGGGTTAGGGAATTCGACGAGTCTTTTTTATCTACATCCTTATACAGAAGAGCAGGCTTGAGATAAGTTTTATGGGTTACCGGCAATTTTTGGTAAAAAAAATTCGCCTAGCTATCTTCGAAGTATCAACCCTGCATTCGCCTCAAAAGTGTTGTCCAAATAGAGACAATTTTATTTTCATTCAAAAACTTGCTACATGTTTATTGATTTACTTTGCCAGAAAAGTGTCGCAACTGAGCAAACATTAACCTGATAATTCTTATGCATTCTTGTAGATATTCTTATTGAAGCAGTTTTTTTTTTCAGAAATTTATGTAGCGTGAGCGGTATAGTTTGAGCTCGTATTTATTTATGTCGTATATATATGCAGTATGCATCCAAAAAATAGCCAAGCTTATAATATCTTTTTACTTTGCACAGTGAAACAGTGCACAGTCATTGTTGGTAGGCTGTCTCTTTATAGACTATGACTTAACATAAAGATGGCTATGATTTTTTATTCACTGTGACATGAGCAGGAGAGACTGTGTAGTTCAGGAAATATTTATAGAATTAATGAAAAAAATGACTGTAATATCAATAAGTTTGACATCTTAAAAGAATATTAGTTACTAATGCTCTTAATATAAGTATTATAATTCGAGTTGTTAATTTTATAACCATGATCGTATTGGTAATTTTGTACGATAACATTCTTAAAACGTTTCTTGTGGCTTTTTGTATGATTTCGGAGTTTGATTTAGGGAAAAAAGCGTTGAAACTCATCAAATAACAAGTTAGTTTAGAATATACAATTTTAAGAGCGATTTTGCTAAATTTTAAAAGCAAGTTTTTAAACTTCATGAATATCATCAGTAACAAATCTATTGAATTTGAATATACTTTTTTTATATATAAACTAAAATGGGATTGACCGCTTGAGGGTAGGTGATGCGACATCTAGAGTCGATAAGCAAACCGTAATTGCAGAACAAAACATGCTGCAGGTATAATACGCTTTTTCAAAGCGTACTGTTTGCTTCTACTCCTCTTCTTATTTATGATATCCGAGAAAATATCAAGCTCACAGGCCACACCAAATTTTACGATGATAAATTGAAAATTTAACTATGTAATGAAATTTATTATGCACACTACATTACGTTTTAATTTTTATTGCGTAAATAAATACTGAAATATAATTGTTGCTATTCAGCAATAAAATTTTTGCAGCAAATTTAATTTAAAAACCATTTAGAATATAATAATATTCATTTCACGTTTTTAACATTATTCTTAAAAATTAAAAGATATCACGCTTTTTATTTTAATATCGTATTTTATGATGGTTGTGATTTTAATTTTTCGCACAAGTTTCTCCGTGTGCATAGCAGTATTTTCTGTGTATTTTATTTTTAAACAATAGCGCGCTCTCTATCTCTTTCGTATACGGTTATAGAAAGTAGTACATGCCGACAGGGAAATGGGAAACGAAAGCTGAACTCCACTGTATAACGCAGTTTTCAATCCTGCATGCGAGGGGGAAAAAAGCTACACGCTTGGCGAAACTGAAATAACGATATAATAGTATGAAATGCAATAAAAGCTCCTCGTGGCCCAATAAACAAAGTGAATCGTTAAGTCCGTTCCTTAGATAGTAGTAGCGCGCGCGTATTAAAATTGCAGTTGCGCATTTCACTGTAGTTATTTTTGAGATCGATACCGCATAAATAGAGTTTGCACGAGCTAACGATGTGATTATCTCGCATGATTCCTCGCGACTTTTTACTTTCGTAATGATTCATTGCAGCAACAACACAAAAAATCGATGTTTCTAAGTGCGACAGCGAACTATTAGGAAATGAATTTTTATTTTGTCCGACCGAGCAGATGTAAAACTAAAACATACGTATATGGCATTTTCGCGCGCAGGTTGTATAATGGGTGTCTTGATTTATTTGACTAATGCGTTGCTTCCGTGCATTCATTGAGGCAACTGCTGCTGTTGCTATATATACGCGTTCGCTGAACTTCTGCGGGATAATAGTCAGTTAGTGTGATTTAACAAGCTCGACCCCCCCAACGAACTATCACTACTATCCCTACTGCTGCTACTACTACTACTACTACTACTACTACTAATCACCTTCGCCTCGCATTGAAGTTGTCAACCGAGCCAAATTGTAACTCGATGCACAAACAGAATCTGATATGTACGCTTTAAGAGTAGCGATTTCACTATAGACATGTGTGTGTGTCGATTCGCGTTGGGCACACGCCCGTACGTGTATATTTTCCAGCCTAAAAGCTTGGATGATTCGATTTGTTTTCGAGTGCTCTACTAGCGGTGCACGAGAGCTCTTTAACTGCGCTTGCGGGATGGCACACGTGTATACCCTGTAGTGGTTGTATTTTTTTATGTATACACGTGCATTGTGTACGTGTTCACATGCAAAAGTGGACGAAGAAAAAAAAATTGGCTGCGGCTGTCGCAAATTATATTATACAAATGGTCAAAATTGACAGCTTTTAATTCACCCAAAGTGTATCAAAAGTCTTAGTTTAGGGATGTTTTTTTGATCAGCTTTCCGATCGTATCATTACAATTAAATTTTCAACTCATATTTTGAAGATTTCGAAGTAAACTTTATTAAAAACGCAAAGTTGACGAAAACTCGCGTCAAAAGCAAAGTTTCAGTTCATTTTTCTGGAAAACTTTTGA